TTTTGTGCCTTTTCCTGTGATGTAATTTACCCTTGTCTGCCTCCTCCTTTCCTTTTCTCTCAGTACATTTTCTTAGATCAGATTAATTCACTTACTTGGATCCATTTAACCCACTTGATTAGATTTTTTCATCATTACATCCAAGTCAATTTATAGTCTCCCCCTTTATGTATACCCCTTTAACATGGTATAATAACAATACAGTTCTCAAGAGTTAGAAGTGTCATCTTCCCTTGTAGAGATGTAAACAGTTTGCCCTTATTAACAACATATTGTATCTTTCTGTCCCATTTACCTTTTTATGTCTCTCTTGAGTCTTGGATCTGAAGATCAAATTTTCTGTTGAGCTCTGGTCTTTTTATTAGGAAGGTATAAAAGTCCCCTATTTCATTGAATATCACTCTCCTCCCCTGAAAGATCATGCTCATTTTCGCTAGGTCCAACCTTTTTTTTTTTAACAAGAATCCTCTCTATAATATCCCCAACAAGTGGGCATCCAGCCTTTGCAAATTACACTGCATCTTTAGCAATGGGAGTCTGGAAGAGAACACAGGCACACTGATTGTTACATTTCAGGTCCTGAGTATGACAATGAAAGCATTTGGACTGGTGGACTATGATAGTCACATCCTGCCCCCACCTACAACACTACTAACCTAGGAGGAGAATAAATAAGCCCATTTCCCTCTCCACAATGAGAAGGACTGTGTCTTCTATAAGTAGGGATTCAAAAATGCTCTCCAGGACATCTTCCTTATAGGTGGGATGGAGTAACTCTTTTACGCAAGTTGACATGTAGTGGTAAGAGCAATTAGAAAACTTGAGTTCAAGTTCTGCATTCTCTGTGACCATAGGCTAGCTACTCAAACTCTTTAGATTCCCAGTTTCTCATCTGCAAATTGAGAGTATTGGACTGGATAATTTCTATGGGCCCTTCTAGCTGTATCTCATTTAAGAATATATGGACTTCTTTTCCCATTAATTGGAGTTTCAGAAAGCACAGACAACTTTATTTCTATTTTCCTCGTCCCATACTTCAAGCAGAAGTTAGTTAAAAGAGCTTGAGCACATCCCATTGAACTTTTACAGTAGATGCTCAATTTGAACTCTAGTAGTTAATTTCCTAATCACATATATATCTTGACCAGATAGAATTTTATCATTCAGCCTAAAAAATGCCAGCTTCTAAAATGAATTTTCCCCTAGAGGTTAGCTAGTTTCAATATAATTTGAAGATAATTCTTTAATTTGTTCAATGATCAGCTTAATCAGATAATGATGTATTATACATATCTATATGAAAATGATCCTACAGTCCATTTGTTAATTCAACATTTTAAAGTAAATATTTTTTTAAAAAATTTCTGCAGTGATGATGAGTTTAGAGGGGTTGGGGAAAGCTTCCTGTAAATGGTGGGATTTTTAGCTGGGACTTAAAAGAAGCCAGGGAGGTCAGTAGTCTTTTCAGAGGAGGGAATGTATTCCCGCCATGGAGACAGCCAGAGAAAATGCCTAGATTCAGAAGATAAAGTGTTTTGTTTGTAGAATAGCAAGGAGGCCATTGTCACTGTATCAAAGAATATGTGTCAGGAAATAAGGTGTAAGAAGGATGAAAAGGTAGAAGGGGGCTCGGTTATGAAGGGCTTTGAATGCCAAACAGAGGATTTAGCATTTGCTCCTAGAGGCAAATGGAAGCCACTGGAGCTTATTGAGTAGAATAATGACTTGATCAGACCTGCATTTTAGGAAAATCACTTTAGAAGCTAAATAGAGGAGGAACTGGAGTGAGGAGAGACTTTAGGCAGGCAGACCCTCCAGCAGGCTATTGCAATAATGCTGTAGTGAGGTGATAAGGGCCTGCACTAGAGTAATGGCAGTGTCAGAAGAGAGAAGGGGACATTCAAGAGGTGTTGTAAAAGTGAAATTGATAGGCCTTGGCAACAGCATGGATATGGGGGGTGAGAGATAATGAGGAATCTAAGATGGTTCCTAGATTGTGAGCCTGAAAAACTGGGAGGATGGTGTTGCCCTCTATTGTGATATGGAAGATAGGGGGTGGGGAGGGTTTGGGGGGAAGATAAGTTCCATTTTGCACATATTGGGTTTAAGATATCTACTGGACATCAAATTTGAAATGTCTGAAAGGCAGTTGATGATTTGAGATTGGATGTCAGCAGAGAGTTTGGGGCAGGATAAGTAGATTTGAAAACCATTAGCATAGAGTTGGTAATTAAATACCAAATGAAAGAGTATAGAGGAAGAAGAGAAGAAGGCCGAGAATGAAACCCTGAGGGACACCTACAGTTAGAGAGTATGATCTGAAAAAGGATTTAGTAAAGGAGACAGAATGAGTGATGCGATAGGTAAGAGGAGAACCAGGAGAGAGTGGTGTTCCAAAAACCTGGAAGGAAGAGAGTATGAAGGAGGAGTGAGTGATCAATAGTGTAAGGCAATAGCGATGTCAAGGAGAATGAGGACTGAGAAAAACCCATTGGATTTGGCAATTAAGAGATTGGTAGTAACTTTGAAGAAAACAGTTCCAGTAGAATAAGTTCAGAAGAGGGATTGTAAGGGGTTAAGGAGAAAGTGAGAGGAGAGAGTATAGAGGTACCATTTTAAACATCATTTTCCAGAATTTTACCTACAAAGGTCAGGAGAGATATAGGATTATAGTGGAAATAGAAGAATCAAGTGAGAGTTTTTCAGATAGGGGAGCCATAGAAAAGTTTGTAGGTAGTGAGAAATGAGCCAGTAGAGAAGGAAAGATTGAAAATAAGTGGACAAGTAGGGATAACCTAGGGGGCAGTCTGTTGGAAGAGATAGGATGGAATGGGACCACCTAAACAAGTAGAAGGGTTAGCCTTGGTAAGGAGTAAGGTCAAATTCATCATGAGAGAAAGGGTTGTGAATGAGGTGGTAGTATCAGAAGACATCTGAGTGATAGGAAATGAGGAAGAGGGGGAAAGAGGGAGTTCACAGCGAATGGGCTCTTTTTTTTGTTCTTTTGTTTTTTTGGTTGTTTTTTTTTTTTCTTCTGTAAAACATGAGGCAAAATTCTCAGGTGAGAATGGGTGAAATGGTGCCTTGGAAGGTTTGAGGAGAGATGAAGTTTGGAAGAAACCAAAACTATCAATAGTCACATGAAAAATGTTCTAAATCACTTTTCTTTCTTTCTTTCTTTTTTTGGGGGGGGAGGGGCTAGGCAACGGGATTTAGTGTATTGCCCAGGGTCACACATCTAGTAAGTGTCAAGTGTCTGAGACCAGATTTGAACTCAGGTCCTCTTGACTTCAGGGCCAGTGTTCTATCCACTGCGCCACTGAGCTGCTCTCTCTAAATCACTTTTGATTAGAGAAATGCAAATTAAAATCAAATCTCAGATAACACCTCACACCTATCATATTAGCTAACATGGTAAAAAAAAGAAAATGACATGCTGGAGGGGATGTGGAAAAACAGATACACTAATGCACTGTTGGTGGAGTTGTGATCAGGGAAGGTCCTTTGTTCTTTGCCCAAGACTTTGTAATCCTTCACAATTACTTTCTAGATTCCTTATGGCCTCTGTAAATCACTAGCAGTGGGTCATAGTTAACAGATTAACAAGTCTTGGTATCTTCTGTTTCATATCCTAGATACTGTGTTAACCTCTTTTTGATATCATTTGCATTAAGAATTACATCCATTCTACTAGAATCAGTCAGAGTATATCAGCTACTACTGCTTACCTTTTCATCCAGTAAGGGTCAGAGGATTTCTCACATAAGTAACATTAATTCAGTAAATATTAAGTGCAGAGCACTGGCTTAAGTCCTGTAGGCATTATGTTAGGTAATAAGTAATAATTCCACGTGTAGGTACTGCTTCAACAAAATAACTTTCTCAAAACCACCTTGATATATAGATAATGTTAATATGATTTTCCACCCTTGATAAACAAGAAAATTAAAGTTCAGAAATGCTAAGAGACTTGCCTGTGGTCACACAAGTAGTGATAAGGGTAGAGCTGGAATTTAGGCTCAGTTCTTTTGACTCAAATTCTTAAACTACACCATGCTTCATCTCCAGAAGGCAGAATATAGGGGGAAAAAATCTATTTTTTTGGTTACTGGTATTAGAATATATTTTGTGGTACCAGTTGTTTTTTTTTTTTTTAATGACATGATATTACTTGAAAAGATTATATCCCCAGTATTTCTAGTTTCCTATGTTCACATTAAAATCACAGGTTCAGAGTGTCAGGTTCTGTCTGGGATAAGTGTTTTTTTTTTTCTTCTACCACTGTCCTTAAAATGAAGGTCATATTTCAGTGCTTCGTTATGCCATGGAAATGACCCTGGGTTCTTGATTTCAAGTGTCATTGGAGTTTGGGCCTACTGAGGGATTGCGTCTATTCTTTGAAGACTCATCTAGGGCCAGCTAGGTGGCACAGTGGATAGAGCGCCAGCCTTGGAGGCAGGAGGACCTGAGTTCAAATTTGGCCTCAGACCAAACACTTGACACTTACTAGCTGTGTGACCCTGAGCAAGTCACTTAACCCCAACTGCCTAAAAAAAAAAAAAAAAAGGAAAGAAGACTCGTCTAGCTAATTTCAGAGAAACTTATTGTCAGAAGGTTATAACATTTTTTTTTCTACTTATAGGAGCCTATTGAAATCCATGGGTTTCTGTGGCTATCTGGAGAACTTTTAATCATGGAGGCATTGTATTATATGTTGGTAGAGAGAATACCCACTCAGATGAAATCACAGACTTAACAACTTATTACTCTAGATGGAAATTGTCTCTCCTTCCTGTAATCTTTTAATACCACATTGGAACTCTCCTAGCACCCATCATATTCTAGATTATGTTATATATTATTTTCATATCTATTTAAAATCTTTCTAGATTTTAAGCTTATCAGCTGAATTCCTTTTTGTACATTGTATATAGTAGGCATTTAAATGCTTTTTAAAAATTGAATCAAATTGACAATTTAAATGCTTTGTTTATTTTTAGAGAGCTATTGCCTATCTCTTCCCAAGTGGCTTATTTGAAAAAAGGGCCAGGCCAATTATGAAGGTATATTAATTTTATTTACTATTTAAAAATGTTTTCATTCTGCGTTTTCTTATGTGTAGTGATTAATGTACCTTTTACTTGTTTTACAGCATCCTGATGACATTTTCCCAAAGCGTAGAGGTAAGTAAGCTCAGGACCATTTCCTTTTTATATCATTTCTTTGAGGCAAAGTGTTATATTGTAAAGTGGGTAAAATTTCCAAAATAATTTTTACAGGTGTAAAACCAATCCCTTTGTTTAAAACAGAAACAGTATAACTAAAACTGAAAAAATAAGAGTTTAAAGAGCTATAATTTTCCAAAGAAAACCTTCAAAAACACCTTCAACAATTAAAAATTTAGTCTTAATTTGCTTCTATAAGGAATAGGATGAGGGACTAGACCTGTAATTTCATAATAATTTCACTGGGAACTTCCAAATGAAGGAACTTCTCTGCCAGACCAAGTCCAGGGCTTCTCTGCAAATAGAACTCTGTGCCTTAGAAAATTGTCTGTCGCACTGAGAAGGGTAAATGATTTGCCTTGGGTCACACAGCAATTATTTATGAGATATGAGATTAGAACTCAGGTCTTTCTGGCTTCAAGGCCACTCTTCACTCTAGTCATGCTTTCTCTCTGGTTTTCTCCTGTATTTATTTTTACTAATCTTGTTAAAATTAAGTGAAAATGTAAAAATTCACTTTAAAAATTTAACATTTCACAAAAGGAAATTATTAAAACAAAATTAGAAAGCCAGATATAAATAGTTTAATAACATGTACTGGATTTGGTGAGTTTTGTGTTGTTGGGGGTTTTTTTTGTTTGTTTTTGTTTTTTGTGGTGCTATGATTTCATGGGTGCAAATGAATTCTACCAATGTAGAGAAATAACTGCTCTGCAACTAATTGTCTTAGAGAATTACATAGATAGGCTAACATAGGTTACCAGATAGTAGAGAATTCTGTGTCAGAGGCCAGACTTGAACCCAAATTGTTTTGACTCTGGCTTTCTCTTTATCCACTATACCACACTGCCACTCATCAAATTTAAAAAAAAAATGTTTAATTGTGTTAAAGGTCTATGTTTTTAGTAATTTTTCATCTACTTGTTCAGGAACACTTTCTTTTATTAAGCAATCTGGTCTAAACTGAGCCTGACTAGAGAGATTAGATAGATAGCTTTATGAGACTGACTGACTGACTGACTGTGTGTGTTGTGTGTGCGCACACACACACGTATGTACATGTAAATATGTCAGATATACTCATATTTTATGTTTAATTACACATACATAATTCTTTTTCCCCCCTATACTTGCAGAACTTAGCAATGTCATTATTCAGGGGTATGGATGGTTCCCTTACCTCTAATCTGACTCCATAGCATTTATAAAGCCCTTTTTGTAATGAGTCTCCTCTTGTCTTCTTCTCTTAAAAGCAGTGATTACTATCTTTGATTTGTTCACTTTTCATAAAAATGCAATATATAACATCTTTCTCTTTTTAAAATTAAAATTGGTTTTTTTTTACGAAATTTTTAATGAAATTCTGCTATACTCATGAATAGCTCTGAAATTAAATTAATTAAACAATTAATTAAACAAGTAAACTAGGATCAGGAAACATTATTGTGAAGGAAGTTGTATGACCCCAAAGCACTTTAGAAACATATAGACATCTTAGGGCAAATGAAGAGGTACAAAATGTTAGTTTGTTGTAGGAGAGTTGTACATGTAAACTATCCATCTCTTAATACCAATGCGTCATTATCTTGGCAAGTAAGGGGAGAAAGTGGCTGGAGAAAAGCAAAATAGCAAACCTCAAAATCAGTATTTCACAGAATCAGATAATTTTGAAGTGGTAGGGACCTCAGCAGCCATCTAGTCCAACCCCCAAATGAAAGGAATCCTTATTTTAACATCCCCCTCAAGTATTTACATCCAGGATCTGTTTGAAGACTTTCTACCATGCCTTGAATCAATCTATTCCTCTTATGGATATCTCACACTCAAACTTAACATGTCCAAAATAACTCATATTTACCCAGAACTAGTCCCTCTCTCAAACTTCCCTATTTGTGTTGATGGTACTGCTATTCTAGTCTCTTACCTCTCACCTCTTGAGTAATCTGTTACAATGGCCTTCTAACTGGCCTCCTTGCCCCAAGCATTTCCCTACTTCAATAGATCCTTGACACAGCTACCAAAATGATTTTCCTTAAGCACAGCTTGGACCATGTGAGACCCCTACTCAAAAACTCCATTGGCTTCCTATTGCTTCTATAATAAAATTTCTAGCCTGCTGATGAGCTTTTAAAGTCTTTCACAACCTGATCCTAACCTATCTTTCTAGCCTCATTATGTATAAGTTCTAATTTTCACTGTTCTTATATGCAGCACTCCATCTTCTATTTCTTTACCTTTGCACTGACCATTACTCATGGTGGGAATTTTCTCTCCTGACCTCTATATCAAAGAAACCCTGTTTTCTTTAAGAATATAGCTCCAGCCTTCAAGATGAAGCCTTTCTTGATCCTGTAAATTGCTAGTACCTTTCCACTCTAACTACCCTTTATTTATTCTCCATGAAACTATATACTTATTGTCTCTCCCCCTACCCCAGTTAGAATGTTAGGTCCTTGAAGGCAGAGGCTATTTTTTGCCTTTCTTTGTATCTTCAATGCTGCTTTGTGTCTTCAGTATTTTTAATACGATGCCAAGGGTATGTGGTAAACGTAATAAATTCTTTTTCAATCATTTGTCATAAGCTTTATACTAATTTGAGCTAAGTTCAGAAATGAAAAATAAGTCCCTGAAATCAAGGAATTTGTAATCTGATAGGGCCAATATGATGCCAGTATGGCAAAAGGTTAAATTTTAGAGGGGCAAAGGAAAGGTCAGGACAGTATGTTAAAAAAAAAATTAAGGAGGGGAGAGATCTTAAAAACAACTTTGTAAAAATCTAATAATCCTGGTTGTACTTCAAATAGCAGTTCAGGAGTTAAATCCAAAGCCTTTCTCAACACTCATTTACTCTGGAATATAATTGATCTCCATTAGCAAGAAAGGGAGTTTTAATTAAATGCTTACTATATGCCAGGCACTGTGCTAAGTATGCTGGGGATTCAAGCAAAGAAAACAGACCCCTGCCCTCAGAGACCTCACATTCTAATGGAGACAGGCTGCACCGAAAAAGGAACTGGAAATAGAATAGGGGCGATGTGCTCCCAGAGGCATGGTGGGAAGATGACAAGTGACTTGGAAGCCTGGTTCTAGGCAAGGTAAAACAGAGGCTCATCTCTCAGGTCCTGGTGACATATGGGCCAAGTTCAGGTTTCCAGTCTAGAATGTACATAGGCTTGTTTGGAGATGGCCAGGAAATCTTTCTTTTTGTGGAGAAAACAATGATTATCTTTTCTCTGGGAATTAGAAATTCAGTGTGTTCTCATTTTGTACAGGATAAAGGGACAGAACTCTTAGAAAATTTGGGATTGATATAAATTTATTTTCAAAAGTGTATCTTTAATAAACTATGTAAATGTTAGCTATTTATACCAGAAATTTATTTATACTAATAATTTCAACTTTCTCTAATTTGATTCCAAGTAATATTACATGTGAAAAATAATGTGTTGTAGAAGTGGATAATTCTGTACCTGGTTAATCTTAAAAAAAAACAAACTATGTGTTACAACTTTTCAAGTCTGTCAAAGGATGCTATGTAATTGGGGATTTGTAATTATAAAGAAAACGCTGACTACTAATCCAGGTATAAATAATTAACAAAGTTTTAAAAGTTTTGCTAATAGGTTATAGCATTACATAGAATATTTGAAATAAAGATTAAATGACGATTTAGTTTTCCAACTTAGTAAATGTTATACTCTTTTCATAAGACTTTATTAGTGTCTTGAATTTAGTAGTTAGTATATTTAATAAGGATGTCCTTTGCTATATTCTTGCATCATATTTTAACACTTGTATAATTCTTAATTTCATTTCAAATAACATTTTAAAACTGTAGGTTTTTTTATTTTGTTTTTAAGTTTGTTATTTTGATTACTAAGTATATACTGATTTTGTTGCTGAATCTGGTTTGGTGGCTGATATAGAGATCCCTCCCTTAGGCTGACTGGTTTTAGTTCTAATTGGTTGATTAGTGCTAGGGAAGTGCCAAAAACTATACCTCTGCCTAATAAAATGTGTTAGGATGAAAAAGCTGTAGAAGTGCAGTGGATAGAGCTCCAGGGCATAGAGTCAGGAAGACTCATCTTCCTGAGTTCAAATCTGGCATTAGACACTTACTAACCAGGTGACCCTGGCAAGTCACTAAACCCTGTTTGCTCTGTTTCCTCCTCTGTAAAATGAACTGGAGAAGGAAATGACAAATCACTCCAATATCTTTGCCAAGAAAACCCCAAATGAGATTATGAAGAGTTGTACATGACTGAAACAACTCACTCAAGAAAGTAACCTAGTCAAATGTAGTCAAGAAGGAAAACGATTGGGTAGTGTGATATGTCCAGTATTCAGTACCATGTCAGATGTTCAAGCCATTTATAGAAGAAGCAGTGATTTAAAAAGAGCAGTACTGAGAGATATTGATTCCAAGAAGGTGTGGAAAAGGAGGAAGACATTAAAAGAAACAGGAATTTATGGCATTTGGATTTAGTTGGGACAGGAGTTACAAAAATAGGTTCAAAGCCAGTTCGAGAATTCATTGCAGTCTTTTTGAGAAGAAATCTCCAAGTTGGTCACGAGTCAAGGAATCATATTTTCAGGCCTTATTTTCTTATATGGCTTGGATTTTATCCCCCTGTACAACTTCTTTAATCCTTTTCTTTATATTTTGATTTTATTTTTATAGACACTGTTTGTCTCTTTGACTTTTCTAAATGTAATCACTGAATACGTGTCTTTAAGGTATCATGCTAGACTGATTTTAAAGATGTTTTATTGATACTTTGTTCTTTAACATTGTGGCTATTTCTGGATATTTCCCTCTCCACTGAGGGCTCCACCAAGCCCTCTCTTGTAACATGGAAAACAGTTAATTGAAGCTAAACAACACTATATCTGACATTGTCTGACATTCTGCTGAAAGTCAGGCAATAAATTTTATAAACTTTTCTCTGGGACCAAAA